TAAGGATCAAGAATTTTTTTTTAAAAGGTGATTTATAAATAAAAATGAGAGAATAATATTAAGTTTAAAAGGAGAAAATTGAATTAATTATGAGAATAAGATTCATTTATTAGCATAAATGTCAAATATTTACTATATACCTCTCTTGCCTATAATATATTCCCTCTGTTTTTATATATAAGAAAAAATAACTATATCACATGATTTAAAAAGATCAGTTTATAATAATTATATTTGAAAATTAAAAAAAAGGAACTAAGATACTATGTGTTATTCAAAATAACTACATTCATTGTTTTGTTCTCACGACTGAAATAAATGGATTCTGTGAGAAATAATTTAAAAAATTTATAATAAATATTTATTGAGATATGTGATTTTGCTTACTCCTTCTAAACCACAATATAATACATCTTCTAGAAGCTTTACTTGATCCAAAAATATAGAGTATGGAATAACTTTTATATTTATTTTTTCAGCTATACCCCAACTTCATTTTATTACTCTTTTTTTAAAAAAAATTATGCATTGAAATTTTAACTACTATTATCAATACTCTTATATAAGATATTTAATGAAGATATAAATGAAAATATATGGATATTTTTAGAGAAATAAAGTTCAAACTAACTTTGTTTGTAATCATGAATTAGTTAACTATAACTTATATTATAGTCTGAATGGAGTATATAAAAAGAAAAATAATAAGTGACAGTTTCTTCTGTATTCAAAACAGAGGGAGTGGGGCATTGATAACAAATTTATTGTTCTAAAAAAATATTAGTTAAAATATTATTTCCTAAAAAATTTACTTATTTTCAATTATACCATCAATAAATATCCTACATAAGGTGTCTTAATAGTGGAAATTAAAATTCTAATACATCATTTTAAAAAAGTAATAGTAGTAAATGAAGTGGGGGTATAGTTAAAAAAATATTTATAAAGCTATTTAGTGTCTTATATTTTGAATCAAGTAAAATTTCTATAAAATCCTTAATATTGCAATTTGGAAGGAGTAATTTATAAAGTAGCCAAAAATATTTACACCAGTATTATATAATATGATACTTTTTTAAAAAAAATATTATAAAGACTAAAAATAATAATTATTAAATGTTATATATATATTTGTGCAATATGTTTGTCAATATACTACATTTATTTGCTATATATGTTTATTTTTTAATCATTCAACACTTTATTTTTTTTAATTTATTATTATATTACGAGTTTATTACATTTGACCATAACTACCTTTGTAAGCATTTTGCTTTGATTGCTTTGCAAAAGAAACAGAAAGAGAGATTTTTTAATGGTTTCTGTTTTGAAAACACAAAGTTGGTAATTGGTCGAGTGATGATGACTGAGGACATTAGATTGAGGCAATAAGTTGGACCAAGTTCGATAGCTAACCAGAAAATTTTAGAACCAAACTCGGAATTTAAAAAATTATCTTTATTTCAGGCTTATTTGGGCTACCAAAACAAACCCAAAAAAATTTGAGCCAAACTCAAATTTGAGTAGATTTTAGCCTAAAGACCCAAATTCCTTTTTTATTATCAATAAAATAATATAAAAATTAAAAATATTAATTTTTTAAACAAAACTGAAATTAGATTAAAAAAAGTAAAAATAAATAATAAATAATATTTAACAATTCAGATATTCAGGCAAACTAGAAAGCCCAAGGGATTAGGGCCAAGCTTGGTTATATAAGTTTTTCCTATATAAAAGTTGTCATTTGAATAAATGAAAATTTTTTTGTATATAATAAAAGTTCAATGCATATAGTGGAGAATCACTACATATAACTGAAGACCCTTCTTCTAGCATTCCAGAATGCTTCTAAATTAATAATTTTCACAATATCAAAAGTTATTAGTCAAATAAATGAAAGTTTTTTTTACATATAATTGAAGTTCAAATGTAGATAGTAAAGAATTGCTTCAAATGATTGGCACTACTTCTAATATTCCATAATGCTTCAAAGGAAAGAATTTTCAAATTATCAAAAGTTATTATTTTAATAAATGAAGTTTTCTTACATATAATTGAAATTTAAATGCATAAAATAGAAAAAATCGCTAAGTATGATTGAAAATCCTGCTTCTAGTAATCCAAATTGACATATTGGCATTGAAGAACCCTATATTAAGTTATATATATTGAAGTTCAAATGCATATAACAAAAGAATCGCTAAGTATGATTAAAGATCCCTGCCTTTAGTATTCAAAATTGACATATTGATATTGAAGGACCTTATATTAAGTGTTGCATGAAATTATAAACAGAAAAAAACCTTATGACATATTGACAGTGAAGAATTTTTGCTCAACTTTTGCTTTTTTTTTTATTGGTAAGGGTATTTTTGTCATTTAGCCCTCCACAATTTTTGTCAATGAAAGACCTCAATACTAAATCTCTACAGACTCCTTTTCAGCAATTATGTGGTGGCTGGTGAAGTCTTTTATGCTAATTTTTCCCTTTTCTTTTTATAGTAAGACAAATGCTTTAAACGCTGGTTAATTTAAAATATGCGTAGTATCAATATTGAATTAACTGATAAGAATAGAATTAACTAATAAATGAGTTAGTCAAATTTTTTTGCAAGGATAACATATGTGAGAAGTGTCTTGATTGTGAGGATTATTTTAAATTTACATAGAAAATGTATTTTAATAATTTTTAGATATTGATAAAATTTAATTATTAAAATTGAAATGCTGAGTGAGAAGGGGGAAAAAAAATCAAAACTTCCTCATGACCTCAATGGCAACTAACCGCTAGGATCTGAAGTGAGCCGACCTTCTGGAATTGGTGGGTAGAAATACAAATATTTAATGAGTGCCATTATTGCAATTCCTTACTCATTGGACCCACGTAGAAATACAAATATTTAAGGGAAAATTTCAATAAGGGGCACTTGATCAAACATAATGAAAAAAAAATCCTTGTATTTTTGAAATTTCATTTAAGAATTCATACGGATTTTCATTTGAATTTGTGATGAAAATGACAAAATTATCTTTATTTAAATGAACAACATAAAAGATTTATTGTTTTCATATTGTATGTTGTTCATTTACTTATAAAATATTGTTTGTTTTTTTATTTTACTTGTTTATAGTCCTACTTTTACTTGATTCTATTCCAAGACCATAAAAAAGTGAAGTAGGTAAACAAGCAACATTTCATAAGTAAATAAACAACATACAATACATAAACGAACAAGTCGTCTTATCATAAAACTAATATTTGGAATGAAATCAAGTGAAACTAGAACTACAAACAAGTAAAGTAAAGAAACGAATAACATTCCATAAATAATGAACAATATAACATACAGTATGAGAACAAACAAGTTGTTTATGTTATTCATTTAAATGAGGCAATTTTATGATTCTGTTACAAATTTAAATGAAAATCTGCACGGGTCCTTCAATCAAATTTTAAAAATTCAATGGTCTAATTTTTTTATTATGTTTGGTCAACAGTCCTGTACTGAAATTTTTCCAATACGTAAAGGATAGCTTGCTAACAAATTTATAATGCTGAAATAAATAATATTTATATCATAAATAATACAAGATACATGTTTTACACATCAATATTACCATTATTCATTTTTCTTGTATAAATTTGATCTAAAATTAAGCCATTCTATTCTCCATATATACCAGCACCTCTTGGATTACAAAACCAGGCCACACAAACTTCGTCTACTTCCTCACGCTAGGCACCCTATACCAACTCCTGAGCCTAATCATGGAGACTCAGATCCCGTACTCCATCTTCTTCACCTTCCTTTGCTTCCTTTTCGTGATCCACAAACTTTCAACTTCAAAGAAATCCCTCAAAACCCTACCCCAGGACCAAGGAAGCTACCTCTCATAGGAAACCTTCATCAGATTGGGTCACAGCCCCATCGATCTTTCAGAAACCTCGCAAACAAGTATGGACCCTTAATGCACCTTCAACTTGGACAAACATCCCTCTTCATCGTCTCTTCACCAGAAGTAGCCAAAGAGGTTATGAAAACCCAAGACGTGATCTTCGCTAATAGACCCACATGTTTTGCCAGCGAAACCTTGGCTTATAACAGCACAGACATAGCCTTCTCTCCGCATGGAAACTACTGGAGGCAACTCCGAAAGATTTGTACTTTGGAACTTTTGTCTCTAAAGAGGGTCCAGACATTCAGAAGAATAAGGGAAGAAGAGGTTTTTGCCTTTGTGAAGCACATTTCTGAACAGTCAGGTTCTGCTGTGAATCTCACCAGAAAAATCTACCCACTCACAAATTCGATAGTTGCTCGAGCAGCCTTTGGTCGAAAGACTGGAAATATAGAAGAAATTGTACCAGTTATAATGTCTGCGGTACAGATTACAGGTGGCTTGTCAATCGCTGATGTCTGTCCTTCCTTGGAATTCCTTCGTGTGATCAGTGGGGCGAAAGATGAAGCTGAAAAGGCGCGAAAAGGCATTGATGTGATGCTTAACACCATCATCAAGGACCATTTGGAAAAGGATGGAGATGTGGGAGAAGTAGAGGAGGATCTCGTTGATGTTCTTCTCAGAGTTCAAAAAGAGAATGATCTTGAGATCCCCTTGACTATGGACAACATCAAAGCTGTCATTTTGGTAAGCGTTAGTTTCAAGTAACGACATATGATTTCTCTTTTGTTTTTAGTACCACAAATTAATAATGGCACCAAAATATAATCGCAGGACATGTTCGTTGGCGGAACTGAAACAGCAGCAACAACAACAATAGGGTGGGCAATGGCCGAAATGATAAAAAAACCCACAAGTCATGAGGAAGGCACAAGAAGAAGTGAGAAAGGTCTATGGAAACAAAGGATATGTGGATGAATCAGAACTTCATCAATTAAAATATGTAAGCGCAATTATTCGAGAAACTTTGAGGTTACACCCACCTGTTGTGCTGTTACTTCCAAGACAAAACAGTGAGATTTGTCATATCAGTGGCTATGAGATACCTCCCAAATCCACTGTGATCATCAATGCTTGGGCCATTGGAAGGCATCCCCAGTATTGGAATGAAGCTGAAAAGTTTCAACCTGAGAGGTTTATTGACAGCTCATCATCAGTTGATTTCAAAGGCACCAACTTTGAGTTCATTCCGTTTGGTGCAGGAAGGAGGATATGCCCTGGAATGTCATTTGCTACACCAGTTTTAGAACTGATAGCAGGAAATCTGCTTTATCATTTTGATTGGAAACTTCCTAAAGAGGAAAAGCGTGAAGATCTGGACATGACTGAGATCTTTGGTGCTGCAGTGAAAGAAGAAGAATGACCTGTGTTTAGTTCCGATTGCTTACCGCCCTTAGCTAATTTATTGCCTTACTGGAATAATATCAATCAGCAATCAATAAGAGGCGATATGGCCTATTTAATTTGAAGCTATTTTCTGTGGAAATAACAATGGACGATTATATATTTGAGAGCATCCAGTAGAGGGTGGTGCTCAATGTGTTGTATCATGTTTCTGTTGAATAATGTTATTCAAGTATACATCTGTTTTTTTAAAGTTCTTTGATTTACATCTCTCTCTGATTATTTTTCTTATTTAATATTAAAACAATGAGGAGATCAGACACACTTAATGTTAATATTAAGTATATATCATTCACACTCTCTGTTAGAACTTTGGAATCTCAATATCTAATGCCACATTTGGTATGATGGAATTGAGGTTAGAGAAGTGGAAGTGGAATTTAAAAATTGGGCTGTTTGGTATGACAGATCTCACTCTCACTTGGAACTCACTTCCATCAAATTTGATGGAATTGGGTTCCTTGGGTATACCCAAGGATCTGAGATAAGTTCTCTGAAACCAACAATTTCAAGCAACAATACCCCAAGTTATAAATTTTATTGACAACATTGCCCCTCCTCAAAATCAAAAGCAAACCCTATTATGATCAAATCACTCGAGACTCTCTCCCTCAAACACTGGTCGATGCAGAGCAACCCATTACGCAGGGCAGCACGGCAGCAGCGACACGGCAAAGACGGCAGCAGAGACGCGGTATAGACAACAGCGTTGGAGTGACTGAGCATGACGGCAGCTGCACTGCACAATCAAACATTGCGGCAAGGGTATGAAAACTTCCCTTTGCTTTCTCAGTTTCGGTATGAAACATTATTGCTCAGTCCATGTGCTTTATCTTCTTTCTCCATGTGTTTTCTTGTTTCTTCTTTCTCTTCTTTCTCGGTTTCTCAGTTTTGGCAGGAGATGTTTATATTATAAATGAAATTTAGCAAAGACTAGCGTTCCCCACTTGAATTTTTTCTGGGCAACAACACTTCAAATTAATTTGAATTCTGTCATTTATTGTTAACCCATTTCTCTGATATGATTTTTTATTTTTCACCCACACAGTGCATGTTCATTCGTAACAATAACATGGTGTCATAAAGATAGTATGATGTTGAGAAGCTCTCTGGCTTTATTATGACAATGTTTGTTCTTTGTTGGGTTGTTTTCTTAAATTTGTTAATATTTTTGTCATGTCCTTTGGTGTGTAGCGGTTTTGATTCAGAAATAGTTCATACACACTTCTTTTTTGGGTGAAAAATGTGAACTTCAGGCACACTTTTTCAAGACACGAACTTTATTTTCTCTCACCATTGGTGTTAGTGTGTGTTTGGTTTAAACCCAAACCTCACTTTGAGTGGTCTAAACTTCAGTTTGGATCCCAAAAGTCGGTTCAGTACCTTTTAATTTTGTTTGGATAAAGATTACAAAAGAATGACTTTTAGGTCAAAACTGAGGTTAGGTGAGAAGCTGATATTCAGTGTATAAATTGTGTAAAAATGAGCCAAATCCAAAAGTAAAATCCCAATAGGGATATTATCCTTTACCATGGATATGCTTCAAGCAAATAGCGAGCTCAATACAAGAATCTCATTGCCTGAGTTTGTCTACATACTTCCAGGGAACAAGGCAAACAAGGCAAACAATACTTCCAGGGAACAAGGCAAACAATACATGAAAAAGGTACTTGAGCTATCTAATCTCATCAACATCTACTTTTCATTTTTCTTTAAGCCCAAATTTCTTCAATCTAAACTAGAATACATGAAAAATATATAATGTGATTTTAACTGATAAAGAAGCTGCGAAAAAAGGAATACACAATAGGTATAGATTTCACAGCAGTAAGAGGTCATCACATGCACATCCAGATCCAGCGCAAGTCTACATGCATCAACAGAAAAAGGTGGCCTTTCTAATAGCTGTATAATCTGACCAATCTCATCTACCTCTCATTTTCCCCAAACAAGAAATCCAAGTTTCTTTAATCTAAACCGTAATACTTTACAGGTGAAAACAAACTAAAAACGAACCTCACCAGTACCCTTCTTTGATCAAGTTGTATTACTCACAGTTCACCTGAGGTATTCATACCCATTAGGCAAAAGCCTAAACCTCTAGTTGACGTTAAAAAGTCATATATTCCTGCTTAATATAACAGTCTAAACATTACACAGAATACAAAATCCAGTTTGAAAAGGATAAGATATGAATCTTCATAGGTAATAGAATATGACAGTTCATGCCATAGCTAGATGAAACAATTGTGGTGGTGCGATTAGACTAATGATTGCCCTCGAAGACAGTAACAATATAAAGGGCAAAGAAAGAAACAGAGAAAGATCCCCAAAAAACAAAGTAAGGGTCGGCATGTACCTCACTGGGTTATGGTTGAGTGATAGACGGCGGAGGAGCGATGACTGTCGGGGAGAGATGGTGGAGCACCGAAGAGCGGTGACTGTTGGAGAGCCCGGAGGCGCCGTGTGGGAGAGCACGAAGCACTCCGTTCAGGGCAGATGAGATGAGGGTCATCACTCGTTTTTTTTTTTTTGGTTTATTATTTATTTAATGAACGGCAAAAGTGTCTTTTAATCTTAATTTTAATTATTTAACCTTTTTTTTCAAAAAAAAAAAACTCATTTAGATTCCATGTGATTGTCTGACATTGTCTGACACACCAGACACATTTGTTAAGCTCAATTCTAATCCAATCCTACTTTACTTTCACTTTCACATCCTTAAAAATGAGTTCTTTTATAACAAACAAGACATAAAAAAATTAAGTTGTGGAGTCTTGAATGTCTGGCTCTGGCGGGACAGCGCAGAGGACCTTATCAATATTAAAATAATCATAGCACTCTCCCATTATAGGCCTATGAATTAGTGTTTGGTTTTGGTACTTATCAATACTCATCATCTGATTGAACAATCTGAACCGTCTAAATTTTTAATTTAGATGTTTTAAATTTATCAATTTTATTTTTATATTTTAATATATATTTATTAAATTATAAAATATAAAATTTTAACAAATTTATTATATTATCAATCTAGACAATATAAATTTAATTAATTAATTTGAGTAGTTCAATTTAATACTAATTTTTTTAAAAAAATTTTATAAATTGATTATCTGTATTTACTCTGAATCTAGTCTGTATAGAGTATATCTGGATATTCTATTTATAAAAATTTAAAAAAATTAATATTAAATTAAACTACTCGAATTAAATCTATATTGTTTAGATTGATGATGAAATAGATTTATTAAAATTTTATAATTTTTTATAATGAATATACAATTAAATTAAAAAATAAATTTTATAAAATCTGAAAAAATCTGGACAATTCAGATGCTTATCAAGTGATGAGCATGATGGTGCGAAACTAAAGTCCTATGAACTAAGGTCAATTATTTAACCCAAAATATATATCCGTGACGAATCAGTTAGGTTTATGATCGTCAGTGCTCAACATTTGATGCCATGATATCCAAAATATTCTGAACGTAATACCCCTTCTTGTCTATTTATAATTGGTCTCCGTTGAGCTTGAATAATACAGTTGACAAAGGAACGCATTCACTTTCAACATATAATGCTGTCAGTACCAATATCAGATGCAAGCATTAAAGCTTTTTTTAGTGCCGATGCTTCAGTCAAATAGGCTTGCCTTTTTTCATTTTATTTATAGCATGAATTATACAGTAAAAATGCCAGCTTCTTCGCAAATAGTTAATCAGTAGCTTTTAAAGAGGGTGAAACGGTACTATTTCACGAACGTTATAGTATGTGTGTTTGTGTTTATTTTAAGAAAATTCAACTTTGCAGCAAAATAAACAACTGCTTACCCTTATAGTTTAGATTTACAGTATATTACCTCCATTTAAAAATATAAGATATTTTTAACTAATTTTCAACTCCAATAAAGTAATTAATTATTTTCAAACTAACGTTATTTTTTCATATTTACTCATATTTAATACAGTATTTTACTTTAAAGTAAATATAAAGTGATTGATTTATGATATATATTTTTTAAAAAAAATATAATGATTACACCTTGAAATACTAAAAATATCTTATATTTTTTAACAACCAACCCCTCAAAAAATATTTTATATTTTTTAACAGAGAATATATATATATATATATATATATGTAGTTATTTTGTTATGTTATGCCAATGCGTTTTTTTAACAAATCAGTCTTAAATTTTAATGATGTGAACTGTGTTCTTTCATTTTAAAAGTGACTAATTATCACTTAATAAGAATATTCTCTGAAGAAATCTCATCTAAATAGAACAAAAATAAATGAAATAAGATTAGGAATTTTTTTTTTTTTTTTCACAGAAAGAATTAATCTTCGATAGTTAATATATAAAAAATAAAATGATTAAATTCTCCCTCTTACTGTTTAATTATTTATTATTGACGTAATATCATATCAATGTATTGTATCAATTATAAAAATTATTGCCGTGGTCTAGGTCATGGAAATCACCATTTCCCATAGTGACGCAGTTTCTAAGATTGTGCCTAAAATAACCTCAGGCACTGCAGCAATTTTGAGATGACATACTTATATTCTATATTTTTTATATTAAGTCACAGCTCTTGAATTTTGTATTTCTATTTTCTATATTCTGCTAGTTCTCAAAGTTTCATTTTAATTTGCATAACATAAAAATTATCACCACATATAAATAAAGAGGGTTTCCAGGTGTAACATGAAAATGATGGTGAACAGGTGAACACTGAACATATTATTTACTTATTTCTTGCTATATCAGTAAAATTTTACAACACCACTAGTAACTAAATGTAAAGGGCAGAACAAGTCGCTGAAAATAGAGATGCCAGTGGACCACAGAAAATAGAGACATTTATAGATTATAGAACTAGGGTTGATAAACCACAGGGACTAGCCAGAGATTCTCAGTTCTTCTCACACTTGCAGCAAACGTCTCAGACATGTCAAACTCTTCATGAGTGATTCCATTTGGTAGCTTCCAATCAAAATGATACAGCAAATTGGCAAGTGGAAGCTCAATGTTGGGCATAGCTAAGTTAATTCCAGGACACATTCTTCTTCCAGCACCAAATGGTATATAATCAAAGTTTGTTCCTTTGAAATTAATTGGATTATCCACAAATCTCTCTGGCTTGAAAGTATCAGCATCATCCCAAAACTTGGGATCTCTTAGTATTGCCCAACCATTGACAATGATTCTGGTCTTTTCAGGTATCTCATATCCATTGATAACACATCTCTCAATATTTTCTCGTGGAAGTAGCAGCACCCCAGGTGGGTGAAGCCTTAAGGTTTCTTTCACAATTGAATTTAAGTATTTCAATTTGTGAATCTCACTTTCATCCACAAGCCCTTTTTCTTTGTAGATCTTTCTGACTTCAGCTTGAGCCTTCACCATCACCTTTGGGTTCTTCATCAATTCTGCCATTGCCCACTCTAGAGTAGTTGATGATGTCTCGGATCCAGCAATGAACATGTCCTGAAAATGTTTATCATATGAATTACGCTCCTAGCTTTTCAAAACCCATATATAATAAGCATGACGTGAATTCTCTAAACTCTCAGACTCAACTTATTGATGACTTCTAACGAGGTAGAACTTTTTGGAGATTATTGGGTCTTATGCACTACGTGCCTAGTCCAAAATGATATAATTGTTCATTTTCAATGAAATTAAATAAACGAAAATTCCATAATGAAGACCAGATTTCTTAATTAGACATGCATACTCATACCAGAAGGACGACTTTGACGTGGTCGTGAGTCAAAGGATGTTCCAGATCTTCTCCCTGCTGAATCTTTAGAAGAACATCAAGTAGATTCTCCTCATGCTTACTTTCACTGCTGGTTGCTTTTCTTTCTTTGTGATCCCTGATGATGTTTTCGATGATTTCATCATTCAATCTGTGGATCATTTCAAGTTTTGCTTTGATCCCTGTAATCACTTGGAGAACTTTGATAGAAGGAAAGAGATCAACAATTGAGAAACCTCCCACCAGCTTCATGATATACTTCAGAGTAGATAAGAAAGCTTCTTGATCTCTTGACTTCTTACCAAAGGCTGCTCTTGCAATTATGGAATTCGTGGTTGTGAAGATTCTCTCACTCAGATTTATGATCAACCCTTCATTAGAGCATATATCTTTGACAAGCGCAGACACTTCCTCTTCCCTTATGTACCTAAAAGATCGAACACGCTTTGCCGTGAAAAGTTCCAAAGTACATATTTTCCGGAGTTGCCTCCAATGGTTTCCATGTGGGGAAAATCCAACGTCTATGTTGTCATAAAGGATGATCTTGGAAGCAAGAAGATGAGGTCTATTGGAGAAGATAAGGTCATGTGTTGTGAAGATCTGTTTGGCAATTTCAGAAGAAGAGACAATGACATTGGATGTCTCTCCAAGCTGAAGGTGCATCAACGGTCCGTACTTGTTTGCCAAGTTTCTCAAGGAGTGATGGGGCAGTGACCCTACAATTTGATGGATGTTCCCTATAAGAGGTAACTTCCATGGCCCTGGAGGTAAGGGAAGGGCTTTGGTTGATTTCATAGAATTGGATCTCTTGTATATCAGAAGAAGGAAGCAAAACAAGATGAAGTAGAGGAAGATCTGAATCTCCATGGTTACAGAAATGCGATGTTAAGTTGCATAGGGTAGAATGATTTATATAGAAGTGTTGCGTCGGATAAGCATGCATGCATGCATCTTCGGTCGTTGAATGTGTTCTGCTATAATAGTATCTTTCTTAGTTGTTATTCCAGCTTAAAATCTATAATCAAGATTTTAATTATTATTTATGAGGCTTATCTTGAAATTCAACAATAATCACTCAACTTATTAAACGAATATAAAAGACAATAAGATTTTCTTAACAGATGAAACTTCCTTGTGTGCGCTTTTGCATTTAAAACTCTCTATTAATTCAGAAATTTCCTTAACTAAGAAAAGGTTATATTGTGCTATATATTAGCTAACAAACATTGGTTCAATTAACAATAATGCAACTCATATACCTTAAAAGGTGTGTGGGGTGGATGCACTTTTAATTAGTTGTAAGACGTGCTTTTATTTTGAATCCTTACAACCTATTTTTTTTAAAAAAAATTGGTTATTAAGATTAGTCAAAGTTTCAAAATCCGTGAGCTATCTTATATTGTTCAACTTGATCTTTTTTTTTCCCCCTGGCCAGCATTAAGTGAAATCGTTATGAGGAAGTAGGAACCTCCTTCCAATATATATATATATATATATATATCTCTCTAATATCGTCCAAAAAAGAATCAAAATTCTTCTAGATGAGTGGCATACTGGTGGGCAAAACAATAACAACAAGGATAAGGTCATAAGGATTCTTCCATTAATATTTATTTGTTTATTCACTCATTCATTTATTTATTGAAGAAGAAAAAGTTGTGAGAATTTGTTAGATCCAGACAAGTTTCATCAGTATGGCTGATAAAGCATGTCCATAGTTACAAAACATGTTTGGAGTTTTGTTTGTGTTTTACATCGTTGTAATTTGTAATTCCTAATTATACGTTGGGAAAAACTTCCAAAAGAAAGACATGTAATGTTCTTGATCTATTTAATTTAATTTCTATGGAGGGGCACGTGCTATGTTAAAAGGCTGCGTGTGGAAGCGAGAACAAGGATTGAGATTAGACTTCAGAACCTTGGATCATGATCAGAAATTGTATTTATTTTCGAAAGCCTCCTTTGTGGGCCCATCCCAAGGTCCAGAAAATTCCCGTTAAGTCCAAATTCGTTTGCCCTCATCTCATGCTTGTGGGCGCCACCATGTTTCCCTGGCTGCTCCCATGCTGGCCATCTTCGATGTCTCTTTCAATGTTTTTGGGTGGAAAAAAAGGAATATTTATTTTTTTAATACAATTTGAGGGGGGGGGGGGAATCTAAAAAAGAAACCGCAATGATCAACCCATATATATAGGTTATTTTATTGATGAGATTTTATTCCGTATAGTTAAACACACTATGAAAAGTTTTATAACAACACTTGTCTAATGATGATAAAACAATATGCATCATGTGCAAATCAATCAAAACTTTAAATATTAACTTTTCTAAAAACATGATCATAGATCACCTCCCAACCTTTCTTATATCACCTTACATGCATCTTTCTTATATCATTTGCAATCCGTGGGATGTGCAATATCTGATGAACCATTTGGATATTGTCAATTACTTTCGTTGAATCTGAGATTAATTTAACTTTTGTTTGGTTTCTTTTTTTAAAAAATATTTTTTTATTTTTAAAAACAAAAAAAGTTAAGAACCTGTTTGATTTTTTTTAAAAGTAATTTTTTAAAAAAAATTAAATAAATTATTCAGATGAGTGTTTTGAATCTAATTATTTTTAAAATTGTTCTCATTTTTTTTAAAAAAATATAAATATTTAAATCTATTTTCATTTCATTTTTTATTTTTAAAATACATTACATTTTATTATTGAAATCTACAATTACTTTAATCAATAATTATTACAAACCACCGCTACTAAGCTCCTATGAGTATTACTATCGATTAATTTTTAAATTCTAAAACTATTTTTAAATTAATACAACCAAATAAATTTTTTTTAAAAGACATTTTAAAAATTATATTGAAAAATAATTTTTAAAAATTAAAAATGAGAATAGAAACCAAACATGCCTACGAAGTTTGTTTGGATAAGTGTTTTGGATTTAATTATTTTTAAAACTGTTCTCATTTTTTAAAAAAATAAAAACATCTTAAAATTATTTTTATTTTTTTTAAACACACTACATTTTATTATTGACAAAAATAATTAGCTCAATCAATTTCGAATATAAACCACTATCATTAACTGTATACAACTATAACTATCAACCTATTTTTAATTTTAAAACTGTTTTTAAATTAACATAACTATAAAAATTTTCATTTTATTTTTTAAATAATTTTAAAAATTATAATACAAAATAATTTTTAAAAATAAAAAATAAGAACAGAAATCAACCAGGTTATTTGACCTTCTTTAATGCTCATCGCTTTTGCAATTGTACCTGGAAAATGCTCTCACATTAATCAGTGACATTTTCATTTTAGTTTATGTGGCTCACACGAACGGATTGATCATTGCTGATCCATAAGATGTAGGAAAAATAGAAGTGAAGGACATTAAGCAACCCATAAAAGACAAAATAAATGTGGGATTCATGGAAGTCCTTGACGAAAATCCAACGTTAATTTCCTCTTTTTTTTTTTAATTAAGGAACCAGTTTGATCTTGTTTCATTTTGTTTAAAGCCCTCATTTATATTTTGGCTAAAAGAAATTCCTCATTTTTTTATTAAAAAAATCCTCCTGTTTTGACTTTAGAGTGTTTTCTAAATTTTATTATTTAAAATATATTGGCACAAGCAATAATTTCTACATCTCGTTGCATAGTTTGTGGTGTTTGTTTAAACTCTTAAAAATAATCAAAATTTGAAAAAAAAATTGATTATTTGAAAAAGCTATTTTGAATTATTTTTTAAAAATAATTTAATGTGATAGATTAAAGAGAAAGTAATAAAAATGCAGAGATGCAGGAAGATATATGATGCCCAACTAGGGTTCATTTTATAAAAGAATGCAATGGAATGATTGGATCAAAGAATGCAATGGAATATAAAATGTTTTCGTTTCCTTAAAAACAGAAGTACTATTTCGAAGGAAAAATATCATTTAAGGATTGCTGAGGGTATTTAATATCAATTAAGGATTAAAAAATTTTGAAATATCATCGTAAAACTAGGAAATTGATTTGAAAATAATTTTAGATTAAAAAGACTATAATACCCTTTTAGTCATTTGTTAATTAATAAGTAGCTATTTATATTTAATAACAAGACATTTGTTAATTGACAAGTTTAAAGATCTGAAAGAGCTTGGTTGTAGGAAGAGATAAGTATAGATCATACTTCAATAAATAATCATTCATTAATTAACAAGTATCCATTCACATTTAATAAGAGACTGTTTGGTAATCGACAAGTTCAAGAATATGAAAGAGCTTAGTTGTGAGAAAGATCAAGTATAGAGCATGTTTTAACAAATACTCATTCACTAATTGACAAATTTAAAAATATAAAAGAACATGATTGTGGAAAGGAACAAGTGTATATCATTTTGATCAAGTTATCATTTGTTAATTAATAAGTATTCATTTACATTTAACAAGAAACTATTCACTAATTGATAAGTTTCAAAAAAGAAAAAGAAAAGTAGGACTACTATAGTCTTTTCTAATATAAAATTAATTTTAAACCAAGCCTTCTACTGTGATATTTTAAAATATGTTTTTTTTATTTGATATTAAATTGCCTTAATGGTCTTGAGTGATATTTCCAATCTATCAACGCAAGCCATTTTTTTTATTTATAGGTTTTGTTAATTAATAATAATAGCTTCTTCAATCGAAATAAAAAACCCGTTTCTCTTCAAAATCATCAAATTTGATAGACCCACATCTAGCCTGGTCAAATTTGTTAGAAATAGAAAAAACTAATTAAATGGCTTAAAATATTTTTTAGGGAAAATTAGTAAAAAGGACTTGATTAGAACAAAAATTATGCCTAAGAATCAAATCAAATTTAAGGACCAAGCCAAATATTTTATTTGTAAAGCAATTAATTTAAATGACCGAAATGCCCCAGTACCTTTAGCTTGGATATTTCCTCATTATTTATCACATTGACAGATGACGTCAAAAATTCATTCTTGCTCTTGACCGGTTCACCTTATATTGTCACTACTTCTCTTAAAGTTGCCCCTTATCTTCGTCGCCTTCCGCCTTTGCTCCTTCTTCCACCATCATCGCTCTTTCTCATGATATCCATCATTCACATCTATACTTGCCATTTCATCATTCAAATGCTAGATCTACTTATTTTTAGAGTTTGAATTCTGCTATCGCTGACCAATGCTTCGTCATACTAAAATCGTTGCCTACAATCAATTCTTTTGATTTGTTGCCGATGTTAATACCTAGTATTGCTATTTTTCTTTTGCATTTAATTCTTATGAAATGCAATTACTTCATATGGACAGATGCATCATTTTCCATATCTTCCTTTTCAAACATAACTTCTAATAGCAGCGCAGTTCTATATATTAATAAATTCAATTTTGTTTTGAAGTGAGGAGTTTCAAATGGTTGATTTTTCTTTTTATCTACTTTAAGGATTTTGTTTAATATTTTCTTTACTCTCAACCCTTAGGTTGATTAATGAATGAAACATTAGAATTGAAAGGTTAATGTAGAGCTGCTTAATAAAAGTAATGACTTCTATTTTTGTTTTGTTTTGGGTATATTTCTTGTAGGTATGCAACAGAACATAGATGTGGTGTGATTGTCAAAGGACCAAATTTGAGTGAAAACATACCAGGAATTAATCTATTGAAGGATAATTACTTGCTTTTGAAAGCACAAGCTTTAGATGATTCTCAATAAGCAAGCCATACTGTAACTGTTGTTAATGAGTTGTCTAAGAAAATAATTAAGATTCTAGTTTCACATCCTATGAATGCTAAACTTGTTGCAAAAGGGAAGAACATACCTAATGTAGTCCTTTTAAGAAGTTATGGTATTCAAAT